GGCCGTTTTGGATGAGGTAAAGGGTGCTTAAACACCAGTACAATCTAGCTTACACCAGTGTCGGCATGTGTGCAGTGCAAGAAAGAAGACACAGGGAGTGTCTACTGCCCGGTGATGGCCTGCCCTTCGCTGTCCCTGTCAGAGACTGACTCCCCCTGCTGGGCCGTCCCCCTCCCCCACCCCGCCCTGTCCCTGGGCAGCCAGCGTCATCGGCGCGGGCAGAATGTGGGCTTGATGCACCTTCCGTTGGACAGGACCAGGTTGGCGGGACAGTGGCACCCAGCCACGCAAGGTTTGGGACAGGGGCCGATCTCGTTCCAGTTCTCACACGTCTTCGTGCACCCCGGGCCACAGGTGTCGTACACCGCTCCGTGCTTGCACTGGGTGGCTGGAAAGGCAGAAGGACACCGAATCAGACTTTTGAGGGAGGGGAGGGAGAGAGAAAGAGAGTGAGAGAGCCCATCATGCGGTGGGCCGGTAGGCCTGGAAAAAAACGAACAAACTGGGAATTATCGGTGATCAAACATATCAGCTGTGTGATAGTTGATCTAGGGAGCAGCGTCAGCAGGCGTAGGCTGCAGCAGAACAAGTAAAGCTTTGCTGAAAAGAGAAGGAAAGAAACAACGTTTTGGCACCCGAAGAAGGCTCTACAGCCGAACCATTTTTTCTCCTTCTCTTTTCAGCATGGAATAAACCTTTACTTTTCCCATTTCTACAGGCATATTTTTGTTTTAACTGTTAAATGTTTCAGAAAATGTACCAAATACTGTAAATGTAAAGAATTTTCCCTCTATTATTAAAGTTATTGCAAGTGTAAAGAAACAAGATCACTGTAGTGAAATTATAGCTTACCGGGTACTAGAATTCCTTTTTTCATTCTTTTAACATCTTGTCTTTATTACTTTTCTAAATGCAGCACCACTGTACTCTCATAAAGTTAATTACAGAGGGCTTTTATTAAAGGTTTATTTCACAGCACTACATAAACTATACCATACACAGGCCTTACTCTCACGGTGGGACTACACACAAAATACAAAATGCTTTCCTGCATAATTAATGCTAACCCATGATGCACTGCTACAAAAACTTGTTAACTCTGTTAACTAAGCTGTGCCTTCGCTACACAGACTGATGCAGCTCAGGCGACGTAGATCAAGGTGAAGATGCGCAAATGTGTGCCTGCATTTACTTCCCTACTGCACACCGAGCAGAGAGGCGATTTGGGTCAGCAAATGCGGACAAAGTGGTCACTGATTACTTTGCATGAATAGGTGAAACTGCAGATGTAGAATTCACAAATATCAAGCTCTTACTGTATAAAGCTCACCTTGTGG